GAGCTGGCACACATGGGGCCTCTGGTGTAGCAAAAGACGAAAAAGGAGAGTGTCCCTCGCGAAAACTGCACCAATCAAGTACCTCCTATAGTAAGTGGGTGAGTGGTGCTGGTGTCCGTCCTAAGAAAGTTCAACCAGTCCACGGTCTTATGCATCAACCCCTCCTCCAACTTTGTGTTACCCATGACGTGGTAATTTGTTATCAGATGTAGAGACAAATGTGAGTGCCAGCTTGATACCGCAAAGAAACCCACCCTAGAGCCAAGACATATGTATATCTGACCTGAGAGTATGACTGAACCGACGGGCCCGAAGGACCTGATTTATACCCGCGGTTCTAGTTGAAATTAGAGTGCAAGGTAAGGGTGATCGACAGTCTTCTAGTCCTCGAAAATATCTTCCACTTCTGAACGCCTTCGGAAGCACGTTTCGGCAATTATATGCGCCCATTTACTTTAGAAAATTCAGCCCATGCATGAATTGTGTCACAGTGAGGAAAGTGCGGATAGAGGTTCCGTTCATTCCTGTCGTATCACAAGTACATAGTCCGTCACTTGGGCTTGCGTCCCCAACAAAGATGATTCCGTTGGTCGTCGTTCTCGAAAGAGCTTGACCTGCTTATACGGAGAGTGATGGAAATCAGGATATTTACCTCACTCGAGCCTTGCTTGGAAGGTACATAGTCATTAGTCCCCGACTTGTAGCTTGGTGGCACATACAGCCGGGATATGCAGCGAGCTACTTAGCACATAACAATTGTGGTCAACTGAAATTTTGAGCACTGCGAAGTAAATCAAAAGCCGTGGGTTGATTCTAAAGATGCCAGATCCTTGCTAGTCGCTTTGTCTGCATGCTACGAGGCGTCTCTAGGCTGACTCCAATGTAACCCAGGCCGGCTCCGATGTGCGAAGAAGGTTGGGGCTGCCTCGAGGGAGACATCAGGCAGCTTGTTCGGATTTTGTTCCAGAGACTTAGGCGATCAACTGGAGCTGAGAAGCTTGTCTTCAATCAGATACAGTGGCTTTTCCTTCTCGGATGTCCTACTCAGAGGCGCAAGATAAAGTAGATCGAACTGGAGCCGGATCCGGTTCGTGATCTCCTGTGCCTACCATGTTTGAATCTTTTCCGAGAACATGAAATGCCGAACGCATTCTGTCCAGGAAAAAGGCGTTGTCAGTACAGAAACTAATGTCAATTGTCTCGTATTGACGTGGTCTTCACTCTTTTGAGGTGGACAGGGTTTATGAGAACGACGCTGATAAGGCACAATTACGACAGAAGCCGACTTATGTGGCGAGCCCTCGCGGGATGTCCAATCCTGAGGAAGATCACGACAGTTGCATCTTCTCGTATGGAGTTGCATGTGGCTTCAAGACATCGTTGAGAATTAAAGACACTAAGAAAGCCCACGAACCAATGGGGCAATCCCGCTGTCAAAACCCCGGCTAAGAACGTCGAGGTTCCACATCTACGGACTTCCCCAGTCCCCGCTCCGAATTATGGCATCACAAAGACAGCGATTTGGACCGGCTACCTAGACTTCTGGTCCCCCTTGCAGCTGCTTCCTTCTGCCTCGTTCCTGTCAATTACCCCCTAAGGTGGGAGTCGCTGCCTGGCGCGTGCGCCGACGCGGGAGGCTTCCGCGACCAGTCTGTTCGTCCCGTCTCGCGATCTCGCGAGTTCGATGTCATCCGATGTGTCCAACCACTAGCATGCGAGATGACATCTGATGTATCCAGTCGCTGAATATCTCACGCAACTCAATGAACATTTCAAGAGGCTCGCCCCCACAGGTTAAGAAGTATCTTTCGGCGATCTTTGCCCCTCGGGCAGCGGGGGCGCCATGCTGCATGTCAGCACGGCACTGAGAGTGCCGCCTGTTTTAGTAGACTACTGTCTAATCTCGTATCTTACTGCGTCAAAAGCGCGAGTTCGTCCTGAGACTCTTACTGGCACGAAACTACAGGTACAGTGTCATGTCGTGCACGTAGTAAGCCCTTACAGTGCATACCCGCGCTCCTGATGGCTCGTTCACGCGCGTGCTCGGACGAATTTAACGAGCCAATCTCGTACAAGCTATCTCGAAAATTCCAACGTCATGTTTGAATTAGTTTAGTATAACCAGAGAAGAATCTGAAGTTGATAAACGTAAACAAAGTGAGAGAATCAGGCATGTGACGGAATATTTTGCTAGACCTTTAGCGCAACTCTGGATGGTGTCAAGGGTCCTAGACGGAATTGGCTGTGGCCAAGTCACGATGTGACACTGCCCCTGCCATGCGGCGCAGGCGTATTTTCTATCCCTGTTTGTAAATCCTGCAGGTCTCTCATCGGAACGATTGAGCCTGTCAATGGGGTCTTGAGACATATCCCGCCCTACTGATTTGCCTCAGCGATAAAACTGAGCGCAACAACAGGCTGCCATCTTTTGCTTACACAGGAATGGCCGGTGCACCTTTCAGGGCGTCGATTTGCCAGATCGGGAAAGTCAGCGACGAAACGTGCGAGCATCTAGAGCTAAGATATCACTTGGCGGTGATGTTCATGGCTGAAAGGAAGCACAGATGCGAGGGAGGCTTATCCTACAGACCCATAGCTCGCTCTGCTTCGGACTTCACGGAGTCAATATCGTGCGATTCCATTCCGAAAGCAGGCAATCGCAAGATTTTGATGCCCGTTCAAGGCGTTCCGAATCGAACTCATGTACACGTCGCGCCGTGTAACAAGCATCGCCATGCGGTCTCCGGCGTGATGAAGAGCGTTTGAACGCTCCCATTTGTTGTTTTCCCGCACTTCCAGCTGGGAATGCCGATGACATTCAAATCCTGATCTCTTCACAGAAAGGAACTTTGGATGGTCTCGACCAAGTCGACCCACCCAAAGGTCTTCCGGCAAGTTTACCAGCCCTACATGCAGCAAGGTTGAGTAACTGCTTCTCGGAATCTCGGGTAGTCACGTAGCAGTATATCTATCTGCAATGCCACCCCTCCACTGTCTCCATTTCCCCTTCCTGGTTCCCAAGAGCATTCACTGTCACCCTCTTCTCAAGCAGGAAACTCTGAGAGCCTCATTATGGAGAGCTTTACTCTCGTCATGTTTTATCTTGGCATCCTAGTGGTGCCTGGTTTCCTATTCTCTTCCCTCCGGCGCTTGCTAGGATGGTCCACAAAAACATCCGTGGATGGCAAGACATCCAAGTCTCCTGCCAGATTCCCTGGTCCCAAGCAATACCCAGTCGTCGGCCGGGTTCATGACTTGCCCAGATTTGCCATGTGGCTCAAGCTCAAGGAATGGGCAGATGAGTTCGGGCCAATCTATCAAACCAGCATGCTTGGCCAGAAGTTCGTAATCATTTCTGACGAAGGAATGGCTCAAGATCTCCTCATCAAAGATGGCAACAAATTCGCCGGAAGACCCCAGATCAGGGCGCTCATTGATCATAAGTTGGGTCCGGCATACTCTGCTTTGATGGACCGCCATGGTGAGTGACACAATAACCATGATTAATTTGACAATCGACGCGAGGCTGAGTTGATCAACAGACACTTGGAAACATCAAAGAAAATGGGTCCATGCGGCTATGGCGGCTGCTCATCAGCATCACTTCTATGGTCATATCGAGAACGAGGTCAAGCGGTGGCTGGTGACCCTCCTTGTCGACCCAGAGAAATTTCACGGCAACACTCGCGAGCTGACAGGGCGCATCATCAGTCGCCTTGCTTGGGATGACTCCACACAAGGACGGGCCTATGGCGAGAGTGCCATTGAGACCTTGACAAGGATGTCCATCTCTGGCCCCATTGTCAACACCATGACACCACTATGGCACATTGCAGACCTCGTTCGATACAATCCTTGGCGCAAGTACGAAATGAACCGAGAGAAGAACCAGCGTGCTTGGTGGTTGAAAACATTCAGGCTCTCCAAGGCAAGATATCTGAGAGGAGACTTGCCATCAGACACATGGACCTACCGGTACTTCGAGCAGCTACAGAAGAGTGGAAATGAGACTCTTAAGCAGACTGAAAAGGCCGAAGACTTCGCAGCCTGCATGCTTGGCTTCCAGTGTCTTGTTGGAGTGGTCACTATTTCTGGGCCTATGCAGTTCTTCTTGATGTGCATGGCGCTTCACCCCGAGTGGTTAAAGAAATGCCAAGAGGAAATTGACAGGGCCTGTGGCGATAGGATGCCAACTCGTGACGACTTCGCCGAACTTCCAACCGTAAGAGCTTGTTTGAAAGAGACCCTCCGGTGGAGGTCTGGGGTGCCTCTTGGTAAGTAGACCGTTGCAGAGATGAGGAGCTTTGAGTTGATATGAGTACTGACTACATCTGTTCAGGGGTTCCCCATCAATGCGAGCAGGATTCTGAATTCCGCGGCGTGAGAATCGAGAAAGGAACAATTATCCTTGCATGCGAGTGGTATGTCACCCCGCGCTGATCTTTACCAAGCCTTGATTGACGCGACCCAACTGCAGGAACATCAACCGTGTCCCGGAAAAGTACCCCGACCCAGAACATTACCGCCCGGATCGCTACCTAGACCCCAGCTTTCCCACGTATCAGGAGCCTCTCAGCCGGTACCCGAACTTCCGCGATGGTGTCGGCATGCATACGTTTGGGTGGGGTCGTCGAACATGCCTGGGCCAGAACCTAGTTGATGACGAGATGTTCGTCGCTGGAGCAGGCGTATGCTGGGCCTTTGACATGAGCCTCAAGAAATGCCCCTCCACTGGCGAGGACGTGACGTTTGATACGCAGGCGACGAACTCCAACGTCATTCTGGAGCCTCTGCCATTCCCAATGCAGTTCAAGATCAGAAGCCCTGAGCGAGCTAAAGAGGTGTTTGAGGGGTACAATGCCGTCAGGGATGCTCTGAAGGTTTGAGCAAGTCTAAAGCAATGATATAATCCAAGATTGTGTTACATAGATAAAGTAAAGAACAGTGTCATGTTGTAACAAACCTATGCAGCAAGTCCATATCCATTTGGTATTGTGATCCTATTTCTTACGGTACACATCTCCTGTTCTCTCAATTTCAAGGTTCGCGTCCTTACCACGACCCTCCTTTTCGAACTGTCTTACGAGGGGCAAAACCTCCCGTCCAAATTGCTCAATCTCTTCATCGTAATGTAAGAAGGCAGTGAGCACTAGGTTAACACCCAAACTCTTCAACAAAACGAGTCGCTCAGCAACTTGCTCCTTAGTACCAATGAGCTTTGTCTTGAAGCCATCGTTGTACTGTACCAAGTCGTCGAACTTGCTATCGGCCCACATGCCCTTCTTGTTTGAGGTGCTGGCCCCAGCTTCCTGAACAGAGGCCCGGAACGCTTCGACGGCCTCCTTGTCCGCCTTGCCTTGGATCTCCTGCAACACGCGAACGGCCTCTTCTTCTGTTTCACGAACGATGACAAAGCCATTCACCGCGAAGCGCACCTGGTCCTCGCGGCCGACCTTTGCCGCGCGGGCCTTTACGTCCGCAATCTGGTTACGGAAACCATCGAGGTCGTTGCCGTTCATGAAGTACCAGTCACTGACCTCGGCGCCATTGTTTCTGGCGTCGTCGCTGTTGCCGCCCTGGAAGATCTCGGGATGAGGTTTCTGAACTGGCTTAGGATTGAGTACATAATTCCTGTAGCGGTAAAAGTCGCCGCCGAAGGTAAATCCTGTGTCCTCGGGTGCGGTCCAGATGCCTTTGAGACAGCGGATGAACTCATTGCTGCGACGGTAACGCTCAGCATGCTCCAACCACCACTCGCCGATAGCTGTAAATTCGCCCTTGAACCAACCGCTCACAATGTTAACGGCAATGCGGCCATTGCTGTAGTGGTCGATGCTGGCGATCTGCTTCGCCACCGTCGTGGGATTCCAGGGCCCAGGGAGAATAGCAGCAATGATCTTGACTGTGTCTGTGGCTTGGAGAATTGCCTGAGAGAAGGACACAGACTCATGTTGGTTTGCAGCACCGTATCCAGACGTGAAGCGAATCTGCGTGAGGCCATACTCGATACCAGCTTGCTCCGCAGCCTTGGCGTACTTGACGTTGCTAGCCAGGTCCCAGTTTGTCCTCTGCGGGATCTTGCTGATTATCAAGCCACCTGAGACATTGGGTACCCAGTATCTGTCAAGTTAGCTACTTGTCTGCAACCTTTGAGGAGAGGATACCTACGCGAAAAGCAGTCGTTCAGGGTCACTATTGAGGGGATGTGGTTGAGCGGTCATTTTCGCTGCGATAATGTGGAAACTGTAAGGTCTGTGGCTGCCAATTTTGCGCCTCAACTGTGATTCAAAGAAGCGATCAAGTCCCTTTTCACTTTGGCCCGGTAACACTGAAGTAGATTGAGATTGAACGATGTTGACCAAGCACACTTCGGAGACGGGGAACGGAAGAAGGGCAGGTTCTCAAATCCTATCATCAAGGCCGGTGACATACAAACAATGACAGAAGAGGAGATGTGATCAGCACATATCAAACCATCATTCTGAATCTACTAGGATGTAGCTATGCTGGCGCGTTCTGCGCGATATATCCAGATCGACGTTGCGGAGGAAGTTCCGTCGAATTGACGACATTGGCGAACCTATGCCTAGCTCTGACGTGATTTCCAAATACCACATTACGACGCATGCCTGAATTTAGATTGATACAATCGGAGCCAGTCACGGCACTTGAAGAGGCATGTGGTGCTGGGGGGAAAGGTTATGTGCCTTGCCGCTCACCCGTCCTCTCCAAGTGCGGCAATTGCACCATTATCAACTCAATGGCGAGATCGCCAGATCCCAGTTGACTGGGGTTTCCCCACGCTTCGATGGATGCATCCACCCCAACATGGCGCGATGTGGGATTGAACCAAGATCTGCGAACTTTAATCTCAACCAACTCATTGAGACGAGTCTGAGCTTTCCAAGGTTTCATTGCAATGAGCAAGGATAGAGCAAATTTTCGGAAAACTCACTGAGACCAGGGCCATGTCGTCGGGTTCATAACTAAGTTCTGTTTGATTTATCTGCTGAAGGATCCGAAAGACAGACCTGCGCCTGCAGCTCTCCATGTTGTCTTACTTCTTTCAGTTTCTCTCGTCTGTTGTCCTACTCCAACTACAATGTCCATTTACTCTTCAGCCCCCAATGGGGCAAGCGAGAAAGGGGTCGAGTCTGTCAAGCCGGAGCCTACCTTGGAGAGATTCGAGACGCTTAACCATGGGCCTCGATTCACTGCACCAAGACCGCTTCCTACAGCAGCGGTGAGTACCCCTTTTCGCGAATTCGCGATCCTTCCAAACATGTTTACTGATCAAAAAGCCTATAGACCTCACTTCCGATCGGAGCTTTCTCTACAACCTTGACGACGCTTTCCCTGAGTTTAATGGAGTGGCGAGGAGTGACAACAACTAACGTCTATATCGCAAACTTCTTCTTTCTAGCTGCCTTTGGCCTAGTGATATCTGCTCAGTGGGAGCTTACGGGAGGAAACGGTTTTGGTTACAGTGTCTTCAGTGCTTTCGGTAAGCTCGAGTGAAATGGCTTCCAACGTCTCCTCGACTGACAATTAGCGTACAGGCCTCTTTTACGCAGGTTACGGTGCCATATTAACTCCGTCTTTTGGGGTTTCAGCAGCATATGGCGATGATACCCAGCAGTTGAACAATGCTCTCGGACTCTTCATGATCAGTGAGTGATGTTATCAATCGTTGCAGTCAAAAATTAAGACTAATGCAAGGACTCTCGCGCAGTTTGGAGCGTCTTCGTTCTCGCCTACCTAGTCGCCACCATACCGACCAATATTGTTTACATCCTGATCTTCATCTTCGTTGAGTTATGTTTTGTACTGGTTGCTGCTAGCTACTTTGCTGCTGCCGATGGCCATGATAGCGCATCGGTTGGATTGAAGAAGAGTGGTGGCGTTTTCGCGTTCCTCGCTGGGCTTGTTGGATGGTAGGTTTCTAGCTGTTGCAGAGAACAATTTTGCTCAACTAACACAACTCAGGTACCTGACTTTCCACCTCTTGCTAAAGGACTCTTTGGTAGAGTTACCATTGGGTGATACTTCTCAGTACTTCCCCAAGACTCGGAAGAAGACCGAGTAGCTTGCCAAATTGAGGCAACAGTACAATTTATTGATAGAGCTGATGAATTGGGCATTTGTATTGAAGTGGTAGAGCCTGGATTGTGGTCACTAATCATACGGTTAAAATGTAGATACCAGACGTTATTCAATCGCAAAATCTGTGTCTCTCTAGAAATTAACATTCATCCTACGGTCTGATCCAGGTGTCAGCTGTTTGTATTCATTTAAGTCCTTAAATCGGAGAGAGTAGATTTGGCGGGAGAGGAAAACAAAATAACGGGACATGACATCTTCTATCATCCATCTTCTTTGGCCGGCTGGATTGATGTTACAGGTGACAAAGATTGACGACTAACCTCAGGGTTTCCGAGCAGCCCATAGTCAGAAACTCAATCGAATGAAGTTCTTGTGCAATGAAGCCTGATTGGTGCACTGCAAAGATATGCCGCGATTGCTGCAGAATAGCGTATATGGTGCCATCCTTGTGCTCGCAGACCCCTCTTTCGAGAACTCTCTGCGACAAGTCAGAGCAGCTGCCGAAACAATGATACTTTCAACATCAGATAGAATATCTGCTCGATAACGAAAGTCTTCTGAACAGGCGATTGTCCCTGGACAAAGGTAGTTAAGCTCCAATGTGACCTTATCCCTGCATGCCTCATTACCTGTCGGTATGGGGTTGGGGGCCAGACGCGGAGGTGCGAAGTACACCCACGCGCGCATCCTAAGTCGTTGCGATTGCGACATATGACAACATAGCTGTGGACCCTCGCGCCACTGGCGACGGCGGAACGGAGTGCCGGCTATCGCTGAACCGTTAGACTACGGAGGCGGTACGGGCGGGCGTGTTTGAGCATATTTAGATACATGTTGGCGCAATTTGACATCAGAGATAGAAGGGAGACAATATTCATCCAGTCCTCTCACACGTCAGTCAACCGTTTCCCGCCTGTTGCGGATTTCTACTCGCTTTTATTCCTTCCCCAAATTCGAGCGACAAGACAACCATTCCTTCGGAGAACGCAAGAATCTAATCTCAAAGGTCGTACAAAATGAGTAGCAACGCTCGTTCGGTTCCTGCAACCGACCCCAAAGTCTACGACGAGTACCAGCAGAAGTGGTCGTCACTTCCTGCGGACGAAGCAGCGTGGCTTCAGCGAGCCAAAGACGTTGCAGATGTGCTAGCCGTAGATGCCGCGCAGCGTGAGAGGGAAAATAAGTCACCTAGAGCTGAGATTGCGCTGCTGAAGCATTCTGGTCTTCTCAAAGTCCTCGGATGGAAAAAGTATGGCGGTGGTGAGCAGCCGTGGAGCGTCGGCTACAAGGTGATTCGCGAGGTTGCCAAGGGAGACGGGTGAGTTTGACCGAAGATTGAGTACTTTTGCGAGTTGAATTTCTGATGTACTGGAATAGATCAATTGGCATGCTTCTGGGATACCATTTGCTCTGGTCAACGACGGCCAATGTCATTGGCAGCTCCGAGCAGGCAGACCGCACTCAGGATCTCATCATTTCCAACAACTACTTTGTCGGTGGTGCCGTAAACCCTCGCGACAGCGATCACAAGATCACTTCAGACGGCGACAACGTCATCTTCAATGGCTTCAAGAACTTCAACACCGGTGGAGTTATCTCCGACTTGACTGTTCTCGAAGGTGTACTTGAGGGTACGGATGACCACCTGTATGCGTTGGTGAAGACTGACCAGCCGGGAATTATCTTTTCTCACAACTGGGATAATGTTGGCTTGCGTCTGAGTGAGTCGGGAAGCGTCAAGATTGAGAACGTCACTGCGCCCTGGTCTGATGCACTAGGATGGAATGCCGCCGAAAAAAAGCCAGATGACTCGATTCTCAAAATCCCGTTTGCAAGTCTGCTTCTTCCCACGTAAGAATCCAATTCTCAACACTTTGATAGCAAAATCTGACTTTTAGGAACAGGATTCAACTCGTTTTCAGCAACTTCTACATCGGTATTGCATGGGGTGCGTTGGATTTTGCCTCAGCCTACACTAGAAAAAACACGCGGGCCTGGCCCTTCGGCGGTGATGTAAGTGCTAGAACAGCTCCAATCAATTATACCCATAAAATGCTCACAGCGAACTTCAGAACAAGGAGAAGGCCGAGGATGAGTTTTATATCCTGTCCACCTATGGAAACTTCCTAGCTCACCTCCGTGCAGCCGATGCACTTGCCGACAAGGCGGGTCTCGAGATTGATGCATTGTACAAGTACTCTGGAGATCCATCAACTAGGGCCAAGGTCACTGCAAAGGCTCGAGGAGAAGCAGCGGAGTGGGTTGCTAGTGTCAAGGTCACGGCAACTGACACGGGACTTCGGGTTACGTCCGGTGTGTTCGAGGTGACGGGCGCGAAAGCCACCGGAACTAAGGTTGGCCTTGACAGATTCTGGAGGGATATCAGGACACACAGTCTGCATGATCCTGTGTCTTACAAAAATCGTGAGCTCGGTAGATATCAGCTGCTGGGCGAGATTCCCGAGCCGACATGGTACACTTAGAGAAGACACCAGGCGGAAGTATCAATGAATATAACGCATTTTGAGCCTTAAATTTCTCTCATTCCCATTAGGCTAATCATCGCTCGGAGCTGGTGAAATATGAACCTTCCTCACTGCCCTCTTATGGCCTTGAATCAATAGTCTAGATGTCTATACTTACAGGTCCATATCGTGGAAATGTGAAAATGCTTGATAACTTCATACAGAGATTTTACAGAGAGATCGACGCATCGGCAAACTTACTCTTGTCCCGAATAAGCTTTCCATATTTGAAGAATAGGTAAGGAAAGACCATCATTCCAATAGCCAAGAAGCCCAAAAGTGATGAGGCCCATTGAAACCCGAGCCTTACGTACATCTGATTTCCAAAAAGCGGAAATGCAGCTATGAAGGGATCAGTCAATTATGTACGAAGACTCTGCAACTCGTCAGGGGACACTTACCAGCCGCCAGGCAACGGACAAAAGAATTGGCAGCTAGCGCACTGGCAGCATACCTGGGATAAGCTTCAACCTGTTCTCTGTTAGTGACTTTCTATGCCTTGGTAATTCTTCTTGGGATGGGCTACGCACCAGAAAGGTCCAGATACCAGTGAAAAGAAGGATGTTTCTGTTGAGAGGAACATTGTGTTAGTCCAAACTACTGTTGAGAGGGCGCTAACGATTGCATGTATATGTCAAAGCTCAATAAGACTTACCCAGCCCCGAACATGGCTGTACCAACGATGGGAACGATCCAATGCACCCAAGGGTACATGGACCAACCAAACATGAAAATTCCCACCGGAACAAGAATAGATCCGAACATAGCGGGTGGAAGTCGGAACTCAGGCTCGCTGCCATCTCCATTTTCGCCTTGGCCCTTGTTCTTCAAAATGAGTCTTATCCTGACTTTATGCCATACCGGATCGGTGGCAATACCCAGCAGCATACCAACCAAGATCCCCAGAAAGCTACAGCCAATTTGATAGAGATTGAAGCCATAAGTCTCTCTAAAAACAAGAGGGAAAGCTCCAAAGAATAAGTATAGTATGCCAAGTAGCAAAGCCGAGAAGAGGCAAAGAGAGAGACACATTGGCTCAAAAGTGAGGAGCTGAATGGGCCGCAGCAATGATATCCCAACAGCACTGAGCACAGATTTGGAATGCATCTCCGAAGCTGCTTTCCAACGATCATCCTCGGTTTCTTTCCGAAGATTGCGAGCCTTGTTCCGTAAGAGAATGGGATCTGATAAGCCATGTCAGTTGCGAGTTCTTGGAGGGGGGTCATCAAGCTTACGATAAGTTTCGGGGACAAGAAAGACAATTCCCAGCTCTAGTACAAAAGACCACATTATGAGGACGTAGAACGTCCAGCGCCACCCGGTATAATAGTTAATGAATCCGCCGACTAAGGGTCCTAGGCTTGGTCCAATGAACGGACATATGGAAAACAGCAGCATGGGCGCTTGTAATTCGTCGTTTGAAAACAAATCTCGGACGGTTCCAGCGGATACAGCTTGGAAAGCACTCCCTGAGAAACCGTCCAAGAAGCGAAGGACAACTAGTGTGGTGATGTTTCTTGCTGTCGCTTGGGGGATAAGAAAAAGGAGGTGGCAAGTGGATGAGATCAAGTAGATCGGCCTCCGCCCATAAAACTCGCTAAGAGGACTGAAGAGCATCGGCCCTAGCGACAAACCGAGAACAAAAGTTGATAGCCCCAGAGTCGATACGATCCTCGAGTTGTGAAATTCGGCCTCCAAGTTGGTGTATGTTGAAGTGTAAATAGAACTCGCACATGTGCTTTGCAGGTGTAAAGTGTTAGCAGTGACACAGACCCCTAGGACTCCTAATGACCATAGATCTTACATGCAGAGCGCCATTTGTGAAACCACCATGGTGATTAGCCATTTTCTCATCTTGCCGTAGCTTCTTGGACATAGCGGATCGTTATCGCCACCATCCCAATCTACCAGAAATTGACCTTCGGCGCGTGTCATAATCTTGGCTTAAGGTGATGAAGCAGGGTCTTCCATATACTTCGTATAGGAACTGTATCTAGAGTTCGCGACGGCTTTCGTAAACTTCTCAGCGATTGAACCGTGAGAGTGCGCAGCTTACTGAGTTGCAACGCGGCAGTGTGCCGCAATCTTCTCAAGAAATGAGTTCGCAGCTATTCAATCATTACTCCGTTGCTCCGGGCATATTTCCGCCAGTTACAATATCGAATTACTAAGCTACGTCATGTATGTCACCCTAGATCGGTGTCGGTTCTCATACGCAATGGCCGGCAACGGAGGCACTAAAGCGGAGGCGGAGACGGATGTAACACCGGGAATTGTGACGGAGATGTAACGGGCATCACACCAACCAGACCTTGGACCAGCCACTTGATAGATTGCGAAAAGTGCTATCAAAGTGCTCTTGACAAAAGGCGTGAAAATTGGAAGAAATGAAGTAAGGAATATGCCACTAGCAACACAAACCTCATGATTCATCACTAGTCTCAATCGCAACTCTTCATAAGCACTTTTTCCCCGACAATGAGTCTTTCGCCTATGAAGCTCTTCGAGCCGCCAGCTACACTCACTGTGGTGGGGCAGAGCTAGCCGAAGTCATCTCAGTGTGCTCTCACATTCCCCCCGGCGACGAAAAAACATGGCTTAGAGAATGGCAATTGGCTGGAGACCGCGCCGTCCAAGCCGCGAAAGCGAGCTTGGCGAATAACAATCGATGTGGTGCGTAGCATGCCTTTTTACGCGCTTCGAATTATTACCGCACGGCCGAATTCTACCGGCGAGATAACGTTTTCGAAGACGACCTATCCAAGAAGCTCATCGGTTTAAGTACCGAGACATTTTATTCTGCAGCCGATCTCATGCCATACAAGACCAAAAGGATTCAAATCCTCTTTGAAGGGACTACTCTTCCGGGAACGATGATGTAGCCTGACAAAAGCGACAAACCGAGGCCCACGATCATTTTTAATGGTGGCTTCGACTCTACCAAGGAAGAGATATTCTACATGAATGGCCAGGCGGCACTTGAAGAAGGCTTCAACTTTATTCTCTTCGATGGCCCGGGACAAGGCAAAGCTCTGAGAGAGCAGCGCCTCGTTTTCAGAAACGACTGGGAGACTGTAATCACTGCGGTTGTCGACTATGCTCTTGGCCAGCCCACAGTCATCGCAAACAAGGTGTTCCTTATGGGCATCAGTATGGGTGGCTACCTTGTCGGAAGAGCTCTATGTTTCGAGCATCGATGCGCGGCCGCTATCGTCAACGACGGGGTTTGCGACTTTGGCGCTGCATCTCATTCCCAGAACCCTGGCCTTGGCAGATTCCTGCTCCGCAATGGTTGGGACGCTACGATGAATGCTCCAATGTTCCAGATGATGCGCTATTAATGTTGGATGCATTCTCTTAAGAAAGGGTCGACCGTTCTCAGTCTGAATTTAATGAACATACATAGGACCTTTTCTTCTCAAAGTCCGCCAATGCTCCGACGTGATCGGCATTCTAACACGCAGTCAACCGTATAGGCAACCGTGTAGGCGATTGAGAAGAAGAGAATAGTACGAACGTGCACGCGCTGAGAACTTGATTCAGACGTAAAGTTTACATCACCCTTCTCAGCCCATACTTGGTCCCGAAACTGGCATTGGGAGACTTCCAGTGACTTGACAGATGTTCTATTCTTAGTCAACAATGAGTAGTCCTTGTTGCAGACTTTTATTGAATTCCAGCCATTTTTATTATATTGTCGTCGGGTTGTCTTCCGTAGTTATCGCAGTTCACGCTTATCCGAGTCTTTCCCCGGTATATTCACCCATGAATAGTTTACAAATGAAGCGACAGGTCGGCAAAGACTAAAGACAGGTGTACTAAGGTCTCCTAGGACTTGAGGGGATAGGATCTTGAAAACTAATCATGTCAAGGACTGTGAGATAACATTTAGTGAGCTGCCTAACACACATATATTAGCCAGCCCGCAACAGCCAGAGTTCGATAATTTATTCCCTGTAAATTGGTGGAGAAAGTCATACTGAGGCAGGATAAGGAGTCATGGAGGATGAGAAAGGGGCGACAACGTATGCTAGGCAGTCGCGTTTGTTATTTCTGGCGGACCCTGGTCGGCAGAGGAATGTTCCCGTTTCGCAAGTCTTGAGGCCCAGGAGACATTCGTTTGAGAGACGTAGATAAAACGAACAAGAAGGACACTCAACAGGATGATGAAACACGACATTTCAGAAAAGCATGGCAGGTCGATGGCTTCCAAAGAAGTATTGGAAAGTTGCGTTACGAGGCCATGCGTGTTTGCTAACTACCTTAAGGTACCTCATAATATAAGAGGCTTCTGCAATATGTCACTAAAATTACAAATGCCAGGTAGGGTCGTTCTACTGCTTATCAGTGACATCTAGGTATCTTAGTAAGGGTTTGATTTTTGATGGAAAAAAGTATAATAATACATTCAGAAGCGGAACAGAAACGAATTCTAGCCCATTTTCGAGCTTTGGTCTTCAAGGCCTTTGCAGCGAGCCCAGGCACATCATTGACGTCCAGTGTCTACGTCCGGTAGCGCGGCAACTAAGGTAGGCTGCAGAGGGTACTTTGTCTTTTGCAGCTCCCAGCATCGCATGGCTCATGTGTCATCATAGACATAAAGAGCAGAAGGGGAAATTCAACTCTCTGAGATTGGATCAAGCGCTTGCAGTTACGTAAACCGTGCTGATCACTGTGCTTCGTGGTGGGCATCGAGACTTCTTGGAAGTGGTGGTGAAAGGCACAGCCGTTGCACTCAAAGTCGCGGCTGAGCTGACTGTTGACACCGCCAACTCGCTGATCTCGCTCTTCGGGGCCGCTGATCCACTTAAGCCAACCGCAGTCGTAGATGCGTACGAGTACGTCGCGTTGGCAGAAGGCACTGCCGCGGAGGCAAGGCTTGTGGGCACGACTACCGCCGCTGAGGACGAAATGTCCTGTCCCCCAACTGTGGACGTGACTGCCGGGAGTGTCCAAGGGGTGATTGTCGGAGCCACGCTAACACCCTCTGCGGTAACGTTCTCCACAAGAGCTTGGGGCCATCTAGCCGGCCCCGGCATCGTGAAGTTGACGATCCACGGACGATACATGTAGAACTCGATACCGGGCTCGTGGCCGTCGTATAATCCCGGAATCTTGACAGTCGGGCCGGGCACGGCGGTACTGTCGCTCTCAACTTCGATCTGGGCGCAGTTGAAGTAGAACTCCGCACCACCAAAGTCACCAGCGCCATGAACGCCAATGTGCTCGATTCGCATGAGGTACTGCCCAGCGGGCGTCTCCTCAGGCAACTTGAACGTAAAGTTGCCAACGTTGGTGACGCCCCACTCGATGCCTTCGCTGGAGAAGGACTTTGGCCCGAGCTCATAGATCTTGAACCAGTCACCGGAACCGTCGTACTCGCGAACATCACCCGGTGCTTTGGAGAGGTAGGCCTGCATGGGTCCCGGGTGCTGAATCGTGCCGCCAAAGTTGAGGCCGAAGCCCACTTCGTCGCCCGCCTTGACTTTGTAGACGCCCGTGGTGGCGGCGTGCTCCATGGAGCCGGTACGGCATCGGAGGTCGGTGCTGTCGTAGCCGTTCTTGAAGGGCATGTAGCCCGCGCTGTTGTCGCGGACGTATTCGTTGTAGCCGGTGAAGTTGCCGTTGACGATGAGGTGGGGAAAGAAGTAATGGGCGGACGCGCCGGAGGCTGATGCAGCCAGAGCGAGGAAGGTTGAGCACCGCATGTTGGGCGAGAAATGGAATAAGGAACGGAAAGGCAGATTTGCCAAAGTGCTGAAAAAAAAGAATGGACTGAGCTGTTACGACCCGCGGAAGATGGAAGGACAACACACTGGAGTATGGCAGCTCATGTAGCGCCGGCGTTTTCATCACCTTATACTTCGTCATGCTGCCGGCAGGAGTCCGACATCGACTTTGACTGCCGAACGCCGACTTGACGTTTGTAAGTGGGCCAAGCCCATTAGCCCCCGAGTCTAAGATGAACCGGTGGTCCTGTCATCAGGCAAGCTAACGGGACATCCCTTGAACTTTGACGGTCTGTTTCAACGGGCCGGTGGGATGGCGTGGACGAATAGACGCCGCCGTCACCCATGAAATTCTCCGTAGCTATCGGACGTCTGAATGGCCCAACATCACCTTGTCACATTGGCCCTGGTCGAAGGCGTCTACTAGAGTTAGAATGTGTCTAGGAAGCTGTCAACGATAGGGATAATTTACGCGCACTCACCTGAGTGGTGCGGTAGCCCCCTTACGGCGGGACATGCCTTGGCGCAACCGCAACGCCGGGTGCCGGCGAGGATGACGGAAGAGTAGCAAACAAAGTCGGACGGATCGTCGATCTTTTATCTACGCGAGGCACGTTAAGAACTAGGATTGAAAGGCGAGCTTTATGGAGTTTCTAGACATATCAACCGCTCAACCCCCCCTGACTCAATTTTGACTCACGCTATTCTGCTTGATATCGCACTCCTTCTCCTCACATCAGCGCCCAAGACCCGAAACCCGAATATTGAAAATCAAAGTCAGACAAAAACTAAAACCCCCCTTTCTGTACTCCTATCAGCAAAATTATGCAGACAACAAACCTCTCATATTGGAAACCCATGCCCCCTCTCATGTTTCTCACTTCGTGTAGCTGCGCTGATTGGCAAAGATGGTCTGGCCAGCAGCCACAACTGCGGTCTCCCAACCGGGGTGGTGAGATTTGTAATGCTATCCATGCTGTTAGCTGATTTGTTCTCACAAGGAGTTGATATTCAAAGGGGAAGTGAAAAGCAACTTACTCTCTTGAGGCGATCCGTCGTCGTGTAGCCCAAGCCACATCCCAGCACACATCGGTTCGTCTTGCGTGCCTCGAGGCTTGCAACACGGTCAGACTTTACCTTGGTATCCTTCCGGGGAGTATTCCTAGTCTTGATCGAGCCTTTACCGCTGCGGGGATTTTTCTTCCCAGAGCCCTCAAAGTCCGAGTCTGAGGAGCTGGAGTTCTTCCTGGGTGGTTGGGGAGGAATGTCGTCTCTCACAAAGTCATCTGGGTCCGAAGTGTCATCTGAATCTGGTTCCTCGGGTTGTAGAGCGCCACCATCGTCCAAGTCCATCGGGTCCGGAGAGGGGTGTGTACCTTCTACTTGCGCCTGCGCATGCCCCCGAGCAATTTGGAGGATAATATCTCCCATAGCGTCGATAGTCGCTCTTTGTACATCTTCCCAGTTCTCGACGTCTTCGCGGTTGTAGAAGTCGATCAAAAAGTTTGAAACGAGGTGTTGAATCTCGGGACGGCTAAGGAACGGTGGCGCCATCGCTGTAGTCAACTTAGTAGATATCAAGTTTGTGGGTAGGTTGTTTGTTGGGATTTGGGGTATACTGAACTTTGTCTGTTGTTAAGTTGTCGGTGATCGGCTGTGCTGGGATAATGATGATGTTGTATTCAGTCGACGTTGGGAAGGATGAAGACGAAATAAGTATTCTCCCAATGACGGGCACGGAGGCTTGAGGGTCAGTCAACAGTGTTGAACTCAAAGCCAGCAATTTTCAGAACAATCCCATCGATATTGCAAAGACCTGTTTGTGTTCTCGACCTTGGACAATGTCACAATAGTCGAGGTCTCTACCTCGTTGGTCATTGAATAAAGGCGACCGTTCCATCCACAAAGGGAGTTCAAACAGTGAGACAAAGTCTTTGAGGACGCTTTATCATTGACCACTTAATATCGCATCACTGGTGAAAGCCAACAAAGCATTGTAAGAATTCGCAAATTTTCATCCGCATCTTCACTCTATTTCCTTCTACCAATCATGCCGGAAATTTAAATTCTCCCGGTCGCAGAACAAGCGCCAGCCGGAGCTCAGTCTCCCATCGTAGCTTACCTTGATATTTACCCTTTGCCGATGGTAGTCTCGGGTAGATCCAAGGTCTGCAAAACAAGGAGATACTCTACTAGTGTACTTGGGCCCGGCTCTGCTTCTTTTGCTGCTCATGGCGAGATTCCTTTGTATTCCATGTGAATACGATGGCAGTAATTACGGGTTGATACAAATACATTACTTGAGCCCGAATCGACGTGGTATCTACACGTATAGATTGCTTACATCTAGATATTGTCACTCAGAGAAGACTCCTGTGGCCGATATGGGCCACTCATAATAGCATAGCTGAATCTCATTCACGATTCTACTGATAGTCCCATGGGTCATCGCCCCAGTCGTCTCCAGAGTAGTCCACAGCAGCTTTCTTCGTCCACTTGTTCTGAGCAGCGGGACCTTGATCTACAGGAACGGTGCTGACGGTAGTCTTTGGCTGAGGCTTCGAGAACAGAGGCGGGACAGTCAGTTCGCTGTCTGCGAGCGCCTTGGTATC